TATCTCTGCATGACAGTTGACCTTGCGGGAACATAAAAGAATGGCGGGGAATAAATATTTCCGCGTTTTAAACCTAACGCCCTTAACCATCCGTAATACGGCGGAGGACATATTCCCATGTTCTATGGAACCCTATTCTCACGTAGCTTATAAGCACTTAGAGTGCGGTTTCTGGAGAGGTGATGTAGGAGCCTGCTCCACCAGCGCTGCCATGAGCACTCATCTGACTGCTCTGTCAACGTGTCAGCTAATCGATTTTGCGCATCGCTGACTCGCCTCGTCAATTCAAATAATTAGTTAATCGATTTTTTGATTACTGGTATGCGCCGGATTTGTGGTCAGCGCTGGGAGAGACACACTACAACACTGAGGCCTGGTGAACGGACGCAGCAAGCAACAGGCTCCCGATTCAGTTTGTACAATTACCTCTTGCTATAGTAAAGAAGTTGTCCCATCAACTCGGTCTTGCCTGTCTTGATTTGGGGAAGCCTTCCGTGGTCGACACTATAACTTGCGACAGTGATACCGGACTTCCTATATTTCTAATAAAGAGCAGTACAACGGTAGAGGTTTAATTTAGGTTCCAGTACGGCACGCGAAAACTCCATGCTTCTTTAATGCGGGATAAGTGGTAATAAGGGCCAAATAGGTGGGGCATATCAGGCAAAAGAGAAAAATAATTAAAAGTGGATAAAATAGGAATTATTATTTTAATAACGTAATGTTGGGTAACAAAAAAGCGCGCCACAAATAAAATGTACAGCTACGCAAACATCAGGAAGTGCACAAAGTTACAGAACAACGGAAGGAAATACAAATTTCCGAGACAAAATTAAAGCAAAAAAATAAAGACCGCATGTCCTTAATAAATCTAGAACTATACGAGAAAGTAAGCTAAAACTAAAGAGAACTAAAATAAGCTAAACTAACTAGACTAAGTTGTAACTAACCACAACTAAGGTCAGCTAACTAAAGAAAGGTAAACTAATATAAAGTTAACAAACTAAACTAAAAACTAATACCATACTAAAATAAAACTAACTATACACAACAATGAACTAAATAAGTTAAATAAACCAAACTGCCTAAAGCAAGGTAAAGTAAACTAGTAAATATTTTTACTCGAGAAGCAACCGCATGTAGCTAATATATCTAAAATTGAACTAAAATCTATTTAAGCAAACTAAACAAAGGTTAACTAAAATAAACTCATCTAAGTAAACTAAAAAGAAATCTAAAACTAAAATAAACCTTAAAAAACTTAATAATAAATTAAAAACAAAACCTTACAGAAAAGTAAGCTATAAATTATAAGTAAACTGTGTTTGCGCGCTTTCTGGTGCCAAGTATTAGAACATATGGAACATAAATTAAACTTCCAATATTACTGCTTAAGGAGCAAAGTAATGACACCGAGAAGGTTTGCTACTTTCAGCACCTGCACTAACCTTTATTGCATATTTGTAGCTTTGCTCTGCCTCGACCACGTGACGTTTTTCAATTGATATCATTGAGAGATAGGCCCAAACAGTAGCGTTTTTGTTATTCAGCGCGTTGGCTTCTTCAAGGGCTTCCTCTGCCTCTTCAAGTTGATTTAGCTGAGGAAAAATCATTAAGCGGGAAATGTATTACGTTGGATATGTATTGAGATGCATTAGCGTACCTTAAAAGTAATCTTTAGGGAGGTTGAGTAGAGGGAGAGTATGTTGCTATCTCATTTTTGCTTTACAGCAAAAAAAATATTTTAATATAGATTAGGGACAATTAAGTATACTTAAATTTGCGTAGTCGGGCGACAACTAATTGGAAAGAGGCATTTAAGTGCAAGGGAGTTCTGAATTCAGGAGCCATAGAATTTCTTTAAGTGAGGGATGGTGGTGCAGCGAAATTTCCTGAAATTAACTCACCCGATAACATGAAATCCCGACACCTAACCAGGACAAGCATGACGGTGCATCTTGACAACATTGGAGGAATAGTTGTTTGCTTTTTTCAAACTGTTTGAAGACACAAAAGAATTATTTTAATAAAGTTAGTGAAGTCGTATATGATAGGATTTCCGTACTTCACAGTATGGGGAAACTACCTGAACAATGTTATCATACTTCAGTTGATATTTGCTGGAAGCGTTAACGTTCATGCTTTTATTGCAATTAAGACGAAGCAATTTTTGTCTAAAAGAGGCACTTGCCTGAGGCATTGTTTTTTGTTTTATTCTTAAAACATTCTCCTAAAATATAGCTGTTACTTGAGAAATCTTTATGTTTAAATTTATCCGAAGAGACACGCTGAAGATCGGCTGAACGCTTTCAAGTGAGGATTTCGACATAGAAGACGAGGAATTTTGAGATAATCGGCAAAACATTTAAGATGACGGTTTTGTACTAATCATCGAGCATGACAGATACAAGATACTCAAAGATGTCGGATGCTTTATCACTTGAGAGGTCCACTGTTGGCACAAGTTTAAGTGCTTTTGGAATGGCACAAAGACAGGGAATTTGGGTGTTTTTTGACTTGATTAAAAGAGAACTAGAAAAATCGAAATGCAGCATGTGACATATTGTCTTCAACACATTGTCTTTATATCAGCTCCTCACTATTAATCAGAAGTGGATGTGATGAAGTAAGCTGAAGAGTAGAAACTGGAAAATGCCTGATCAGTCATAACCATCAAGGTCAAAGTAGAAATATGAAAGAAAGCCAAGTTATGTTGTATATCTGTTGATACCAGAAGGGGCTGTGCTGAGTTGCTGAAACCATCTAAACTCGTTACCATTGAGCGATATCTGCAAGAGTAAGTATATTAAAGTTGAGCACAGGATAATGTTAAGCCGTATGTTACACATCGATTGAAGAAAACTTTGAAAGCACCTCACTGAGAAGGCCTATCCCGCCCAGCTGTATTCATCAGATTTTGATTAAGCATATTATCATTTGCTACGGTCGAAACATCATTTCCTTTCTGCACAGAATTTAAGTTCCCATGACGAATTAAAAAATTGGTCCAATCCTTGAATTGATTGATTGATCTTCCACTGCAGAATTTCTTTTTTTACACAGGAAAATACTTTACTGTGATATAATGTACGGTTGCCTTTAAATAAGCTTTGTGTGATGTCATTAGAACGGGACGAAATAATTTTGATTCACAATAACACTCGTTTTGTTTGATCTTCTAGCCGTCGAGTTTAAAACGAAAGTCTTAGATGTTTACCCATCTTTCAGAAAAATAATTTAAAAGGACGTCGGAGGTTAGAAGTTTGGAGAAGGCCTCAAGTGCGAACCAACAACAGGCGGACCAACAATGAACACAAAATTTTCACAATTGGGCAATTGAATTTTGCAAATCTGTCAACACTCCTCACTGTCCCCTAAAAATTAAGTATGCCCAGTAGTCATTCGGGTGGATTCTAGATGTTTGCTTCGGAAATCCTGCCTGGGTAGTCAGCTTACTGTACCCGTAATGGTGGGTTATGATAAGTGCAGTAGGTCGGGCGGGTGAATCAACGCAAGTGCGATTACATTCACGGCTTTTAGCGCGCCTTCGTATGTCAATTGGTAGAGCGTTGACTGTACTAAAACCTTCTCTGCTGATGTGGGTTTGAAGTCCACGGAGGCCACGAACTTTTCACAATTGGGTACGTTGGAAAAAAGACAAAACTTTTGGACACCGACATATATGACGCCCTAACAGCGGAGTTTCTTGTCTGCAACAGGTTGAAGAAACTAAGAAAACAAACTAAAATGATGACTTATTACTTCTTACCGGCTGGGCATTGGTTTTTATGTGAAATCCGGGTTTTATTTAATTTTAATCGCAAGTCTCTGAGCCTACGCCAATGCAAGGCGAAAAGACACCCCCCAAACAATCATCTGTCGTATTTTTCACTTACTTTTCCTTCCTTCAAACACAGTTCGGCGAAACAAAGTTGAAATAGCCTGGACTTTCTGCAAGGCCAATTTCTGAGGTTCATTGCGCGCTCAAAGTGTCTGATAGCCGAGACACGATCACCTGCCACTGAATACAATTCTCCTAGAGTTGCCCAGGCCTCCACGTTTTCGGGATCTGTTTCGATTGCGTTGTTCAACGATTCCCGTGCTCGCGTTATGGCCTCCACGTAGTCTTCCCTGCCGTGGTCGCTGATAGTACAGTGGCTCACATTTCCAAGGTCCTTTCTCATCACGGTCTTCGCGGCAACGACATGGTACTGGGCAAGTTCGTTCACGTAGGCAAGAGCGCTGGGACTGGACCTTGGAACCTGTCTGGGCAAGGCTAAGAACTTGAGACCGTTGCCAGCCTCTGCAACAGGCGGGCCACCATTCGGACTGGTTCCAGGCGGCGAGCAGAGGTAATACGATGAGCAGCGGTCTAGGTACTTACGCAGGTGAATTAGGTGATGTGCCATTGCTTTTTCGGCGAACTAAATGAAAAGTGCTTATCAAATATAGAATCTGGTTGGGCATTGTCCAAATATAGACGGAGAACAACGATTTGTACTGCCGTTTTGAGTGAAAATAACCAATTAGATATTGAAATATTGTTTTCTCGAAAGAAATTTGAACAAGGCAAAGATCACTAGATTAGCAGTATTTATTGACGTCATAAAATTTCGTGAACTCTTATACTCCTGAAATATCAGTGCCTAAAAAGCCGGTGAGCAGTTTCCTACCTTTCAAGTGTGATAATGCCTCCAACATGATTAAACGAAGGCTCCGATGAAAGATTGAAAGAACTTACCCCGCCGCTTAATTGTTGAACGTAAGCACAACAACGGCTATTCCATTTCGACCGA